GAGAAATAAGGGAAAGAAATAAAAAACATATATCGGTCCAAGATCGTCGTGGGTTGATGAAGTTGTGTACGTGATTATCTTTGATAATATTTATTTGCTAATATCTTGATATCTGGTCGTCTTCGAGACAAAAAGAATTGATTGTTTCTCGTACATAATAGGAATAAAGGAAATATGTGAAAAATGAAAAATGAGAAATCCTTTGGGTGTTGAACCGCGTCAACTTGTGCACGCGTGAAATGTATATCTCACGCCAACGTGCCGTGAAATGATATTCGAAATTGAAAATACTGGGTTTATGTCACTTCCCAGTAACAAAGCTTGTAGCAGCCTTGTGGTACTTTTTATATTTATTGTAATCGTTTATGAAGCAGTGGCCGTAATTAATGTACCTCAGAGAAGATTGAAGAGCATGTGCCATATGACGTGATTTGATTAAAAGAAAATTGTATATATTCAAATTATTCTTCAACGCCATTGGTACCTAATGAGAACGAATACCTAACAACAGAGAACAATCGTTTGTCCAATGTAACAAGTCATAATCAATTTACGTTTGTTCCAAATCATTGGGCTATAAAGAATCTCTTTTATTTTCATAACTACCAGAGTATTCTCCAATTTATAGCCATAATTCTTAATGGCGCCACTAAACAGGAAGCACATTTTTCATTCACACGCAATTTACTTCCCCTGATTAGATCTCCTTGCTCACATAAAAATCTTGGAGTAAGGAATTGGCATTCAAAATACAAAGGCTTTCCACTAGAAGACACTTTTGCAATGTGATTATAAAATTTGTAAAAGAGCCAGTTGCCCTGTTATTCTGTCTGTGCAAGACAGAAACAGAGATGTACTGGTTTGTTACGGTTAAGCGACCAGCTTGCACGGTTATCTGAAAATGGATTAACGTCACTTGCTAGGCATACACGCGCGCGTGAGATTTCCAACGTGCTTTAACGGGCTGTTTCTTGGCCCTGCCAATCTCTTCTTTGCTTGCCGCACACGCACTGCCTTCGCTAATTATTTTTCACGCTGTAGGCGTAGGTCTTATCAATACACGTCATCTTCTATTACTGCATTTATGAAATAATTAATTTGTTACAACAGTGATGAGTATTCAATGACTAATTTTATAAGTTGAGTGCTATTTGGTAGAAAATTTTGGAAAAGAGTTTGAATTAATGAATTAACTTTTAAGTTTTTATACTTAACTATATATAGATATCTTTTATTTGGCTTTATGTAGATATCTAGCCAACAGACATTATTTTACTAGACACCACTCAAGCTTCATGGATGAAGGATCTCTGAACCGACCGGATCATAAATAGGGTCAAGATAGTATTTTCTTCCCATTTCCTATGGCTACTACTACTTTTTAGCTGTGTTTCCGATAACTATCCAACCACTTGAATTCCAGCAGGGATATGTTCGAATCGATTTCACTGGCAGCTGGCTTTCGTCTCGCCCCGAGACATTTAGGGATCGAGTATCCGGAATTAAATTCGACAAATGCGAGCGATCATTAGGGGCCAGTCGCAGGCAAAATGTCGCGTAGCACGGCTGTCTGTTCAACTGACTTGGAAACTAGCCTAATCTTGTTCAGATTCTCGTTCCTGGTGTCTGCCGACAGGTTGCAAGCATTGTCCCGTTCCTGTACGAATTTCCAAGATGGATTCCACGTTTCGTAGCAGTGTGTCTCTGTCGATTCAAGAACCATAAATCCTTATGTCGCTCGTTCCTACACTCTTCGGTGATCCATGGAAATTCCATTTAATGAACTGTTAACTTCTGAACAATAAGCACCTATATTTTCGCGGATTGAAGGGCTAAGCATAGCCCTTCCAGCAGGAAGAACTAATTAGATTCCTCCTGATGCAGTTGGCAGTCGATTTAAGAATCTGCGAATTGAAAACGTCTTTTTCTAATTTAAAGTTAAAGAGAACGAGTAATATACTGATTTTGTTTTCACTTACGGTATAGAAACTTACATAATCAATGTAATGATACAAATGGCGCATCCTGTTTCATGGCATTAAATTACTAATTACATTATAATTAGTCGTAACATGTGTTCAACATAATACACTTTGAACAATTGGTTCCAGACAATGATAAGGTCCTCATATTAATTAACTCTTTCGCCAACAATATCGTGCGAGACTACGGATATGGAGATGGTGCGGAGATCGGACCAAACACGAGTATTACGGGCGAGAACCGTGGGTCGTAGGTAGATCGAACGTAAACATCACGGTGGTTAATTTTCGGCGATGTTTTCCGGTCTCAGTTGCGTGTTATTCTTCGCCGCGTTCAGACAACATAGGTCGATGTGTCTCGATGTGTTTCAACGTGCTCGACAGTGCTGTTGACTGTGACACGCGCCATCGAATGTTTAATGGTAAGACAAAGGCTTAATGTCAATTCAATAGACACAAAGTGTAGACGAGCTTGTGGTCATCTCGAAGACCCAAACTGTTCATGAAATTAACAAATTCTTATCAGATATCAACCTGCATGATTTTTCAAAGATTTTACGTGATGTTTTCAACTTAGAATTACTTCATGTATCTCTTTGGAAATCTGCAAAAGTCATTAGTATAACAGTAGAATCGACAGGAAGAAGATCGATTGGATACTAGAAGAACGACCACTTTACCAGGATTCGGTGTCGGTCCATTTTCTCACTTCCTTTTCGCCGCATACGCGACTCGTTGCACGGTTTATACCTGAACCTGGTAATTGAGCGATTCGATACTGCACGAATGGTCGGTCAAAGTTGCATTACCGATACCAAAGCCTTCAAAGCATCTTTGCCGAATCTTATCTCGCGAGGTAGACGTCTTGACGGTTCCCCCTTATCCGTCTAATCTTTACCAGAGTTATTACGTCTCTGCGAAACTTCCTTCACGTCCTTTCTTTTCCCTTCTTTTCTTCTGCTGGCTTTACTGTACGAAGATTCCGTTGAGAAATGGTTTCCTTTCATGGATATAGAACTTTAACATTCCATCAGAAATTCGATAGTCACGTGAGCAGTTTTAAGAAAAGAAAATTTATATTCTTTCCTTTAAGTAGTATTGCAGACCCTGTGAAATTCAATTACATCAATAGCCTTGGTGCAATTTAAGAACGTTAAAATCTTTTTTTAGAATATAATTTACAGAAAATAGCCGACCTTAAGTTACCGTAACCGGTGGTTGGAGAAGTGATTGAACATTCCAATGGACCCGTTAGTTCTTATTATGATCCTATTAGCTCGTTGATCTCTTTAATGGCTGTGCCAAGATGGCTTCAAGATGTTCACAGAACTCGAACGTTGCCAGACCTCTGGTGTTTCCCGCGAAACTGTGGATTCAATTTCTTTCAGGCATGCACAGGTAAGAACTAGCTTGCCGGTGAACATTTTCGAAGCTCCTCTGAACTTCTTTACGATACCCTGGTCAACGCTTCCGGGTAGGAAACGACATCATTGCGGTAACTCGTTGGACTCGTGTTCATTGTGCATGGGGATTCTGCACAGTGACACCGTGGCTGGTTCCACTGAAATGCTTAGTCTTATAACTTTTTCACCGTGGGAGCTGTTTCATCATCATTGATAATTATTCCTTTTCTCTGAAACACCGATTTCGTTAAATGGCAATAAACCGAAAGAATCTCAAGTTTAAAAGAGAAAAGTACCAAGCGCCACTTCTAAGATTATCCTGATAACTTTCTTCCAGCTAAAAGAACAAAAATTACGATTAAATTCCTCAAAGCTTCTAAAAGCTTCAAATTACACAAAAGTCATATATAATACAAACGCAGAGACAATTTCTTTTCCCTCAAAGAGATTGACTCCGGTTGCCGTTATACGTTACCGAGCTTCCATCGACGATTAATCGAGCTGGCCTCCGGCAGACACAGAAAACGAGCGAGCAGAGAAGGCCCTGAAGCAGAAGCTCGATCGCATTTTCATTGGCCGTGAGCCGGAGAGGGACTCGAATGAAACGACTCGCAGAGACGACCTGTGCACGGGAATTCCGCGTCGTGAGCTAGGACTAATGAAATCGTTATAGTTCGCCGCCCTTTGAAACGCGGATCGCGAAGAATTACAGCGTGACTCGCTTTAATAAGAGCTCCAGCGACCAGCTACCGGTACGTGGTCCCGTTTCCGGTGAAAAAAGGATATCGAGCAGCTCGTTCCCCTCCGTGCTCCGCGACTGTCGTCGCTTTGTTCGATCTGGTCGCGGGATCGAGTTACCTTGTATTTTCTTGCAGCTCTCTCTCTCTCAACGGAACAAGGCTGCACATTAATGGAATTCCACGGTTTCCAGCCTTTAAGGAGGAACTTTGAGGGTGCTTTGGTACGTAATTAGAGTTTGACTCGTTGATTAGATAATTGATTGTCTTCTAGTTTGAGTGATGGGAAGATTTGACGATTGGGAGCTTAGACGTCACGAGGAATATTCCTCTTTGTCTTCTTGTTGTCTATAGACTCGGTGTATGTTAGATAAGGGTCGAGTAGAGTTCCTTGTTATGAAGTAGGATTATCCTGAAGGCTTCAAACTTACAAGTGTCGACAGTGCCAAGATATCAGATACTGTCATCCTAGTTGTAAATTGAAAAAATTCTTTCCATGACTGTATCTGAAAGAAAAGAAAAAGAAAAAGATATGCGTAGGAAACTACTTTTCATTTAATATAGCTTATTATAACATTACTGTAATTATGTTTCCTTTGTTACCTCAAAAATCTTAGAATAAATCAGCAATTATTTTGTTTCTCATGTTGAAGATCTCATGCTATCAGAATCTTCTAATACTTTACTGATAATAGGGACAAATCGTTCTATATATTATGAACATAATCTTGAATATCGAGACCAGTTCCACGAAAAGTCAGCTCACCCAGATCGATCGACGGATCTGTCGACAACTTACTGCAACGTTTACTAGCCTCTACGGAAAATATATCGACAAAGCTCTGTCGGGGTCAGTTAAAGCCGCGGCTTTAATGGCCGCGGCGAACGCGCAACAAGGGGATACACGTGTACACGTGTTCACGTTGGTAATTCTGAATCGAGTTAAAACATTGCGTGTTTCTGTATCTTTTCCCAACGATTGCTGCAGCTGTTGGTGGGTCTCCGTGCAGTTGCACGAGCACAGATAACGCTTGGTGCCTCGTAAACTTTCGCAACGACGCGGACGTGTTATCGTTGTATAGTCATATCTTCGAATAATATGAACGTGACGTTGAATTAATTCCACGGCGAGCTCCTTTGGACGCTGTCCGTCGCATTGAACGACGCTTTTACCGGCGTTCAGACGCTTGTCCAGTTGGCAAAAAGTTTTAATTGAAAAGCGCCAACCCGATGCTCACTAATCGATTTTGAGGGCTCGCGCACAAGCTACGAGTGAAATCATTTCGTAATTAAGCGTGGATTGCTCTGATTGTCCTGCAACTGTTTCCTACTATGGAGCAGCTGAGCATTCTTCCGCCTGAATAATCTTGCATATTAGAATTCCATTTTAGTAATGATCGATGGTATGTGGAAGAGACACTATCGTTGATTGGTTGAGCTGTCACAACCATTATATCAGTAGGGTTTCCGTGTTTAAAAAAGAGAATTCAATTGGCATCCACTTAGGTGTCAATCATTGATCAGCCAGGATTATTACGTCCAGAGATATTCCAGGATTATAGAACTCGGCATCACTCATAGAGTGACAATTTTCCATCTTTTAATATGGAATGATACTAAAAGAATTCAATTTCAAACTTATCAACCATTTATGAAGCTTTTGTGTGAGTTCTTTTGGTCTGCGTTAATTTTCTTTCACTCTGTATCTTTAACGTTAAAGTTAAGGAAAATCGAACATTCCAATTCCACAAATTAACGCGAGATTCTTACTCTTCAAATTTTTGGAAATCAATCTCTACCATTTGTTAACCTCAAGGACCTTTTATTAGGTATTCCATCCGGTCTGGTGACATCGCACCGTTAATTCCACGTCGAGCACACGGTGCCAAAGGGCGACTGCGTACACGTGTCCACTCGCAAATCCTGAAGCGTGGCGCGTGGCGTGGAAGCTTCTGGTTCGACACATCTCGAGGCAGCTCGAAGCCAGCCAGTACACAACGGATTCTCATAGTTGCGTGACGGTCTATTACGGCGTGTATAATCGACCGATCGACCGGCCGGATTCCCAGAGCTGACACTCAATTCGTATCCGGCCATTTCGGCCGGATATGCGATTCAGACGTTCCGACCGTTTCCGATGTTCTCCGCACGAATTATTACTCTGACCCGCGTTGATCCGCTTTCTCTCCTGGCCGGGGAACCGCGATCGAATCGATGTCCAGGACTTGCCAAGCTGAAGGTGACGGCTGCTTAATGTAGTTTTAATTGTATTTCGATTTTTGTACAGATTTCTAGGTATCGGGTAGATTTAATGATACTTGGGTATTCCAGTTTAGTTCGTAGATCTAAAAAAAGAAGGTTCAATTAATTTACATAAAACATCTAATAATTTATGGTTTGATAATTATTGTTTGGTATTTATGCAGATTTGTTAAATCATCTGTTGATATTTGTAATTTAATTCTTACCAAATTAAAGCTCTTTATTTATCTGTTTTTCATCATAAACCTTCATCGCAAAGGATAATCAAGTTCATCAGCTTTCCATCGAACGGAAGATCTTCGAGCAGTATTACACAAGAGACATTAAGGATGATAACAAGCCTTCACATGATATCGTGCTCAAAATGCAAGAGTGTTTGTGTAAGCTGTGAAAATAAGGCAGCTGATTACCAGGTCCGGGTTAGAGGCGGCTCGTTTAATGCGGAAAACGGGAAAAAATTCGTGGAATGTAGGCGTGTGAGGCGCAATACACCTAGCTACAGTAAAAGCAAGAAGGAAAGAGATGGGTCAGTCGCCTGGCCGCGTGTATCAACCTATATACGTCGCTCGTTTATTACGTTTCGTACGTTTCGTAAGTTTTATTAAGAGCCACGACGTGAAAATTTCGCGACGTGAAAATTTCGCGGCGTTATCGTTGTCGCACCTGCATGGCTTCGTTTCCCTAGCTAGCCAAAGCTTGTCTCTTCGTTTTTCCATTCTGTTGAACGTCCACGTGTTCTTCGCGGATCGTTGTTATGCTAACGAAGTTCACTCCCAAAAGGGATGCAGATTTTAATTTTCCATCTCACGTCATAATAGGGATGTCTAATCTCTCTCGTCTCCGCCCTGATGTTGCTGCAAGATAAATAAGCATTGTAAAAGGAAACGAGATTGCGATCTGAATCTTTTGTGAAGATTCGGGGATCATTAGCGCGCGGAAAGAAACTTACCCGGACTGGATGCGGGATTTGATTGAGGACTTGTTTTTGTCGTTTTTCCTTTGAACTTTCTTATATAAAATAGTACCGTCTTAGACTTGAAATTCGTGTCAACTTTGTAATTAAAGGTATCATTAAGTTGGTATATTTATACCTCTATTGAAAATTGTTTCTTTTTTCTTCCTTTAAGTAAAAATTCATTTAAATTCTTTTTATTAGTTTGACCAACATATTAACAGTAGTGACACACCTACCAAATCATTTCAATTATTATTTTTCAAATACATTCCTCAATCTTACTTCATTAAACGGCCTCCATCTAAAATTATAAGATTTTTCAAAGCGGAACATTCTGAATAGAACCTATTTCCATAATCGTATGAACATATAAATGTTACTCTCAAGATTCTCCTTTTCTGATCCTTACCTCAAATACAATATCACCCCAAGAGCGTCTTGAAGAAACAGCAGAATATCTATGAGGAACGATTGGCTTTCTTTGTCGGTCGGTTTACTCCCAGTTCTATGAGCTCTGTCTAACTCATCGAACGCAGAAGGGGCTCGAATAGGCCGGGTCTCTGACGTCGAGAACTCGATAAGACATCGTACGCCACTCTGGCGATTCTAATACCAGTTTGACACTTGGAGATCGATGAGAATGGGAAAGTATCGTACATCAGGGCCGGGCCCGATAGAGAAAATTATTCAGCCGATGCGCGTTACGTGTGGCCCGGCCATAAATCACAGCTGCTGGAGGCGAAGGAAGTGGTCGGGCTACCGATACTAATCCGTGGAGAAAGACAGAGCTTCCGATTACAGTTTCATATTGAATTTTTCATCGAGTCCTCGCTACGTGGACAGCCTCTTTCATTGTAATTAGATGTTCGAGCCGGTTCGGTGAATAACGACACTACGAGCCGTGCAAGCTGGCTTCTCTTTCACGTCTTTCTCTCTTTCGTCTCCGCCGTTTCCGTCTTCCTCTTTCCATAGGCTACTTTTTTATTTCTTTCTCTGCGATATGCCGAGACACAAAGTCAGCTCACGTTCCGCAGGCCGTGCGAACAGAACAGGTAACTCTCGAAGGAACTCCGGCAAAGTATCCTCTATTAAATTACAGACGGCCAGGCGTAAATCTTCGCAGAGACGAGCGAGCGAGCGAGTAGACTTCTCGCTTGCGTGATGGAAACTTTCTGCTCCCTTTTTCCCTCCTTTTCTTTCTTTCTTTCTTCACCGTTTTTTGCTTGTCTTTTGTTTTGTTTCTCTCCCCTCAAGTTTTCGAGGAAGCTTTGTATAATGGACACAGGGTTGGTACATCGTCGCGACGCGGTCTCAGGATCGGCTCCCTTCATGTCACGGCGCCCGGATGTTCTTAAAGGACTACAAAGTTCCCGAAGCGGGATCGCTTATTAATTCTGATCCTTCAGACTCTTGTATTCCTTGTCATATCCTTCTTCCTCAACGAATTTTCAGCGACATACTAGAAAGATCAATCAAAATTGTATGTATAATAACACCTTGTCAACTCTTTTAAATTATCCATACAATATATCCATCCAATATAACTATAAACATTTGCATATTACCTTTGTCCTATAGTCCCATAGTAATATGTATAGTGTATAAAATACTTGACGAAAAACTCGCTGGAGGGGAATTACCAACAGAGAACTACTCATCCAAAGCAGCCTTCCCGCTGGCAAAAAGGGAAGAGGAAGAAGAAGAAGCTCGGAGAAGTTGCCGAACTGGAGGATACGTCGCGATCAAAGCGAAAGGTAGCCGGCTTTGTAGCCAGGATACGCGAATAGGGACAAAGGAGCTATCGCGGCTACGGGAATTACGTATACAGAGCGTCTGGGCGGAAAAGAAACGGCGACACAGCGGAATCTGGAGAGCATAAAATGGGAATTGTTAGGAACTTCACGCTCCACCGCCGCGGGCGCATTTAGTATCGCTCTTTCTCTGTATCGACGGACTCTATCCTTAAGTTTCTCACCGATTGGCGTGCTCCACGACGTTTCAAAATGGAGACAATTTGTAGAGGAAGCGGCGAGCATCGATCGTGGAGCTATCGTGATTCTCTGTTACTTATCATTTCGTCGTTGTGAAACTTCTCTTTCAGCACGCTTCACATGTGAAATATCCATTTGTTGTGTCATGCATCCAGAACTCCAATGTGTTGTATTATTTTATAGTCTAGTTTGATGAAGATTCCATGAAGTTGACAATACCTACGATGTATAAAATACGAACGTTAGTATATATTTCATTTAATTAATTTTGCTTAAACATTTTATGTGCTGTATGTTTTAAGAACGTTTGAAGAGATAAGATACCAACCAACGAAGGAAAAGTCGAATAATTGTGGAGAACGCGATAAACCGGCAGTTTTTATGGGCCACTCAACTTTATAGGGTATACTTGGTTATAACCATCTGTTTCTTAATTCTGATAGAGAATTATTAATTCCTTGATAAAATGCCGCTTGTTTTCACCAAATTGCAACAATTATGCTATTTCATTTTTGAATGATCATAATTGATAAAGTTTTTTAACGTTCCACTATCGATATCTCGTAACGAATGTAAGCAATTGTCAGTAATAAAATTTCTTTAAGCACTGATTCGCAAAGATGCGAAAAATAATTAAAAATGGTAATAGTTAAGCGCCATCCAGTCTTTTCAGTGCGGTTATCAATAGTGGCAGAATTCTCAGTTCATTTCCAAAGAACACAATATATCCCATGCACTGGCTCTGTCCATGCATTGTCTACGCTGCATTTCCTGCACAATGCCGGGATTTTCTTTGCCATTCGCGATACAACACCGTGCTGATTCCCCTTTTTCGCCTTCCATCGCCTTTTCCACCACCGTTCCACTTTAAATCCACTGGTGAACAGGGCGAAGGGGTACACCGTATCGAGGGATTCCCTTTGAACATCCTTTAATAAAATTGAAGTCCCGGAAACGATCTCTCCTCATTAATCTTTTTAACAGAGGAAACCGGCCAGGGCTACTGCTCGTCAAAGCGTTTATTTCTGTCTTTCGCGTCTACTACTGCCATCTGCAAAACACAGAGAGCGCGAGAAAAAAGAAAAACCAAGTGGAGAATAAAAAAGAAGAAAAAGAAGAAAGGCCGCAAAGGAGGTGGGGGTAGGGAAAAAATGAAAATCCGCTTGCTTCGAAGTGCTTTCAACGAAATTAGAATTTCAAAAAGGTCAGGTTAAATTTTCCATCCCCTCTATCCCCACCCCATGGCCACAGCCATCGTGTGACCCGCCCCGATTATTAATTTCTTTTTCTACCCTTTTTCGGGCAACGCGTTTCACTCCACCTCCCTATTCCTACGCTGCCTGTTCCTTGTCTTTCTTCTTTCTATATACTACCTTCTTTTTGTCCTTTGTTTCTTCAACATCGATGAAGCGATTCGTCCATCGGGCTCATCTTTATTCATCGTGTACCAGCCGGCCTAGTACACATTGTACATTACTCTAGCGAACTATTAATTCTCGTTTGACACTTGGAGACCGATGGGCCAGACACATCCCTGGTACTTTTTACGGGATTTCCATGATCGATTACTGGCCGCTTGCACGAAACATATGTATCCTCTCACGGTGTTTTGCCTTTCCCTCCCAGGATAAGAGAGTCGACCGGGGTAAACCGACTCCACACTATCGTGCACCTTTGGGATTCTATATACGGACATGTATTTACTTGTGCGTATGGTTTGGGTGAGTATACGATGCAGCTGTTTGGATGGAACAGATCCAAACAAACTGCATCGTCGTTTGCATATGGACTGTATCGGAGAAATGGGAATACGTTTCGTGGACTTTTCGTGGTAGAGAAATCATGATACCTGGAGATTTCCGAGAGTGATTGCTGAATAAATCGGGAGAAGTTTGGTTTGAAAGCATTGCCAGGTTTAAATATTCGTCAATGATTGTTCCTTGCTTCCTACTTGTTACTGATAATTTAAATTCATTTAATATAGGAAAACAATAAAGAAATGGAAAACATTGTTAAATATATTAAAAACTTTATCCAATCACTTACCACTATAAATAACAGAATTTTTCTGCCAAATCTAATCTTTCGTTTCAAGCGAAATTTAGGGTTATGTTGTCCTTCTGTTAAAATCAGCTCAGGTTATGTTTCCTTTAAAGTAACTTCGAAATAAGTTGTGAGTTTATATGATACGATCTTTTACGTCACACATGAATTCCAATCTGCCAACCAAATTGTTTAATACAAATACAATTACACGATTTAAATGTTGACTCCCAAGAGTATTACCCTTTCGCGTGCGAAATTATTACAATTACAACTTCAAACAGGAAATCGGGATGGAATTGGAATATAAAAGTAAACGATGGAGAGAGAAAGGGTGCACGCACGCGCGAGAGAGAAAGAGAGAGAGAGAGAACAGCTGCTGATCGTATATCAGACCATGGTGTTCGCTAATCTGCTAATCTAATTTCTGGACTGGTAGTCGGTGTCCTGTGCCGGAAATCGGCCAATTTCCCCCAATGCACTTTCCACTATCCTTCCTTCCCATATTGTCTTCCAAATAGTCGTGTAGTAAATAAGAAAACTGGTGAATTATTATCGAACATGGGCTCGCTATTCCATATCGAACTATGTATTTCCTCGCATAATTGCCAAACCACCGAAGAAGATTACGAACAATATCGACCGAAACTGAAGTCAGAGTTTCAATGCTGAGGGGGCTAGAGATGAAGGGAGGCTTGATTGAATTTCGTCTGGGCGA